ACCGCCTCCATCCTGTAGACAATAGCCGGGGCTCAGGATGTGGGTCCCTGACTCAATAGCCCCGCCAGCTGGAGGCCTCCACCAGGGCTGGGGGAGGGCGGAAGGGGGCTGTGGTTGGGGAGTGAGGGGCAATGGCATTGGCAGGGTACCAGCATATCAGGGCTGCTCAGCACCATAAAGCAGTAAGGGGGGTACAGCCGTAGCTAGACCCATGTCCTGGTGAGCGAAGGGGGCAGGGGGAGCTCTTATTTTCCATGATAAAAAACCCAAAATCACATGCCAAAATTTATAGGTATTTATAATTTATTTTATTATAAATTACTATATTATTTTATTATAGGTACACTTTAGGTTTCCAAATTGCTTTAAAATTGTAAATATATATATTAGTGGCATTTCATTTTAATTGCAGAAAAACACAGATTTGGGGGGGGTTTAAATCAGAGAATTTGCTATTTTAAACAGAGAGAACCAGGATCCCAGGTAAGCCAGAAGTTCCCCACCTACTTTCCCAAGAACATTTGTTATTTTATTACACTCCTTACTAAGAAAAGGAAAAATGAAAGCTATGAGTCTTACCAGCATCATGACTTACCTAGGAAACTACAACTTCGCCTTATGTGATATAAGCAGATCTCTTCCAATTTTTCATTATTATTTGGAATTGTGGATACCTCATTCAGACTGTCACCTTTCACTACAAAAGGAAAAACAGAGTTGCTCTTTTATAAATAGCTTTTGTAGGTTCAGTTTTGACAAATGCTCCCAAAAAGCACAAATATGGTTAAAAGACAAACAAAGAAAGGCTCTGTAACTAAAGGGCTCTGAGCACTAAGGTATAAGCTGCCCTTGTACACATAATCAAAGACACAATTACAACAGTTATCCTCTAACAAGGTCATAACACAGAGTTCAGATGGGAGTTTAAGTGGCATAAACTAGCTATAGCCGTTGTTGTCTTGTCCAAGCAATTAGGCAGTTTAAAAGAGGTCCCTGACCTTTTTTGGAGTCCCAGTTTGGCCTAAGCTGCATCTTAGACTATCTAAGAAGCCAGAGGTGCAACAGCCAGAGGCTGCATATGGGGACAGCAGGGGCTGAGCCAGCTGTGGCAGCTCCACAGGCAGCAGGAGCAGTTACTGTTCTTACACCCCACTAACTGAGGTCAAATTTCATTATTCATCATCTTGTGAGTTTGGCCTCTGTGTGCCTGTGTAGTCTCTTGAATTCAATTTGTAGCTGTACTGCAATAATTAAAGAATCAAAACGAGAGTTAAAAATAAGGCAGACAGGGTAAATCACTTTACACAGTAAGTCAATGGAGGAGTTGGAACCTAGGAATCCTGCCTCCACCCCCTGGACAACACTTAGGATCAGCTTAGAAGTCACAAGTCAGACTGACTTGGCTTAATAACATGAGAAACAGATATCACTCAAATTGCTACTGCAGAGCAACAACCTTGTTGTTTCTGGACACTCCAGAGCAGTGGAGGCCAACCATTTTGTTTTGGGAAGCATGTCACAAATTAACCCCACACTGAAGTGCCACTCCAGTTCTCTTCCCCTGCCCAACCTGCTACTTTGCTTTCTACCCTGTGCTTCTTGCCTGATCTACTGCTCTGCTTTCTGCTTCTTGCTCTACCCACCCCCAACCTGCTACACGCCACACACAGAGGCTGCCTGTGCTATTTGCCTTGCCTATGTTGCAGGTTGGCCACCCCTCCTTTAAAGCAAGGTGGTTATCCTAAACAGCTATTCACCTAGAAATCTGTTAACCCAGAGTCTATAGCAGGGGTGGTAAATTATTTGAGCCCGAGAGCCACTTAGGGAGTTTTGGCGAGCTGTCTCAGGCTGGGTCAGCACATCCCCCCACCTGCAACAGTTCACCAAAAGTGGCTTTGCTTCATGCTCAGCTGGGTGGCAGCCATGGGCGGGCAAGCAGGGAGTGGCATCCAAGAGCGAGATGGGCAAGCAGGACCAAGACTGCAGGGCCTGGGGCAGAGCCATGATACACACCCGAGACAGGAGCTGGTTCCGCGGGAAGAGGCGTGCAGGGAGCAAACTGCAGCTCTGCCCTGGGCACATGGGGAGCTGCCTCTATGAGCAGGACAGGCAGGTAGGGCCAAGATCTTGAGGCAGGAACAACGTGGGGCTGGAGCCAGGGCCCGGGGCACAGCAGTGATTTGCTCCCTGCACACAGCTGCCCACAGAACTGGCACTCATCTGGCCTGAGCCCAGAACTGGCTCTACCACAGGCCCCAACCACATGTTCTCACTGCCCCAACACGGCCACAGCACCATGACACACAATCCTGGCCCCAGCCCCTGGCCACCTGTGGCCCCATCCCATGGCCTGGCTGCAGGCCCCGCCCACACGGGTCCCATCCCCAGCAATGGGTGCAGAATGGATGAGCTGGGGTGCCCAGACAGCAGGGGTGGCAGCCAGGAGCCAAGTGAAGCCACGGCTGCTGGGAAGCCAGTCCTTCTCCTGCACCGTCCCAGCCCTGCTGCGTGCCCAGGGGCAACAGGGCTGCCTGAATGCACCATAGTCCAGGCTGCCCCCCGCACCAGGGCCACGTGGGACCAAGGGACCTTCTGCAGGCTGGATAAAATCCCTTGGCAGCCTGTATTTTGCCCACCCCAGTCTACAGTTTGGAACCCCTGTCATTTAAAGAATACATAAAAGAGCTGGACAGGAGGAAAGGGACAGCTATATACTTTAGTTTTCTATGTGCTCTTTGATTACACTTAAAATATTTTAAAGACCTTCAGTGGAAACAAAATGAAAACAAACTGAAAGCTACTACCCTGCTCTCCATTGCTTCTCATGCTGAATACTGGTTAGATAAAGATGGAGAAACAGAACATTCAAAACCACACCAAGAAAAGCATTCCTTGTCTTTATGTTGGTCTCACCCCCTTCCTCCACTTTGCCCAAAGAACTACAGTGAATCTATTATCTAAATCTTACTCTTCTGCCTCATGGTTAAATAAGGATCTTGAATAATGTTAATTGCCTTTACCCTCAAAATGCCTTTCAAACAACTGTGAATGGACTCTCTTTCTATATATACATATATACACATATGTCTCATAGTGTGCCTGTGTGCATACGCACACACACTGCTGTACCCCCTGGGTGAAATAAGACCCTGCCAAAAGAAAGAGCTAAATCTTAAATTTACCTTCTTCTAAGTAGCAGAGATCTGAGCTAATGCTGTGCTCACTAGGTTGACTCTTTACTCCATTTAAAAAAAAAATATATAAGTGTTCTACCTTTGGTTGGTGAGGAGTTGCCATTTTTGATGTCGTACACGTTCCTGAAGATGGAGGGCAGTCTGTTAATCAGGTCTGAGCTCATTCCACGTTTCTCCAGTTTTTCATAACATTCTGGATTAAAAATGTCATGTAATCGTTTGCAGTTACTGCCGAATCTGCAGTCTCCCAGCAAATAGTGCTGGCAAATGTGAAGTTTGATACAGATTGTCTTAAAGTTACAAGACCCGTGGGGTCCATCACCTCTGTTATAATGCGGACATATCTGGAGTTGGGAGGGAGGGAAAAAAAGGGATATCAGTTTCAGCAAAAGTAGTGTATTTTGATCATTTCTTTTTAAATAAAAGAACAATTTGCCTTTGATAAAAACACACATTAATTTCTAAAATCTAGATTTTCTAATACTGTAATAGGATATTTGCTTATAGTTTTTATGGAGTTTTCTGTATGCCTGTTAATGTCCAAATGGATCTTTGAACAGATCAGAAGTAACTATGTCTAAAACTTCTATATGTGGTTCACTTCTATGATGGCAAATAGGATTATACTCCAAGTCACATGCATGTAGTGTGGTTGAACTCAAGTTGCTGTGGGAACCTTAACTCTTTAGCTTCTTAATTTCAGTGCCAGGGATTCCTCAACTTAGTATTAATAGAAGGTAAGGTTGTTTTTTTTTGTTTTTTTATTTTAAACATTTATTGATGATAATCTACCATAAAAAGTAAGACTATTAGTTTCTTTTGAAAAATCTTTTCTAAATGGAGGTTTCATGCTCATGCTATGGAGGTTACTATAGACATATATTATGGATATGAAAAGAATGCTTTCTAAAAGGCAATACAAAAGTTGTGTTGTATACTGGTATGCAAATGCTGCTGTGTTTACATTAGACATTTAAAGATCATTCAAGATCTGTCAAACCAGTCTGTCTGTAGCACTAGTTGTTTTCAAGAAATTATTTGCATGTTCAACAGGGCTGTGTGAAGTTTGGTCCCCAATTCGATTTGGCAGAGATTCAAGCCAAATGGGTGACCAAATCTAAGGACCCTTGAATCTCTCTGAATTGAATCAGAACCCTCTGAATTGACTGGGAGACATTTGGAAAGATTTGGTGATTCAGACATAGACACAACTTTAAATATTTTTTCTACATACCTCAAGGTACCAGACAGCTGTGATGCTGGGGCGGACGGAGCATCTCACAGGAGTGCAGGAGGCTCCACAGCACGCTTGGCAGCAGACCCGGAAGTGGACCAGAAGCACTTCCAGTTCACTTCCAGGTCTACCAGGGAGTGCGCAGGGGGACCCCTCATGACCCACCAGCTCAGCAACTGGTGCCTCCTGGGTCGTGCTCTCTGGCGGACCCAGAAGCGGGCCAAAAGTACTTCCAGTCCACTTCCGGGTTCGCCACTGAGCACATGGAGGGCATTCCCACGATCCTGTGGGACGCTCCATGCGCCCCAGCATTGCAGCGTTCACAAGCCGCGCTGGTACCTCAAGATATGTAGAAAAAACATTTAAAGCTATGTCTATGGCCAAATCACCGATTCTCCGAAACAGCATCGAATCTTCAGATTCGGCTGAATTGAATCAGGGACAATGATCAGAATCAATTAATCGAATCACTGTCCCCAATTTGGGCCGAATCCAAATTGAATAGGACCCGCTTCGCACACCTCTAATGTTCAGTGGATTTGGGTCTTAGAAGAGCTACCAAATAATTAAATCCCAGTACTAATACTTCAAACTTTATTGTCCCCAAATTCTGTCAGCGCATTGTAATCTGAATTGCAATCCGTCACTGATTTAAGAAATTGACATAGTAGAGGTCTTGGGTCAATGAAGATATCCAAAAACAAGAGTTATAAAGGAGATATGTACAATCAAAGGCCCTGATCATACACATGCCTACACATGCTTAACTTCATGAACATGAGTAATCTCATTGACTTTACTGAAATTATTCAGAGTAGGTGAAGATAAGTCCATACAAGAATATACATGGCTCAAGTTGTTTATTACTTTCCTCATCACAGGATGTAACTGTACGATATCTGGATTTAGCCAGCTCTAGGAAAGAGCAAATGCTAAAATCAGATGAGCACTGAGGTCCAGTCCAACTTTATGATTCAATGCTACTTCTTTTGTGACACACACTGTAAAGGAAGCAGCAAATTCTGCAGTAGTGCTTACCTCAGGTAAAAGTGAAGGATCATTCTGAAGCAGAAGTTGGCACAGTTCATCATCATTTAAGCACTCAAGCCCATGGTGTTTCAGAACAGGTAAGTTATGCTCCGATTGTAGGTTATGAATAAATTTGCATTCTTTCCTACATGTTTAAGAAGCCAGACATAAGAAAGTGAACTGAATCAGCATAGTTTCACTAGAGGAGATACGTTAGATTGAACAATTTATACTGCACACAAAACTAACTAGTCTCAGAGAAAAATTACTCAGAGGATCATTACCATACCATTTCCAATTTACTGCCATAATTACTGAAAACTCATTGGCAGTATTACAGAATGCCAACAATAGTGCTTATAAATACCAGATCACCTGGTAATTATATTCACTTAATAGAGAAGGAGCAAGAATAACAGTCTACATTTCCAAATCACCCATTGACATTATAGTCCTAAACTTGAGCAGTATGAAATATTCAAATTCTGTATGGAATTTCCTGAGTGCCTCATACATATAAACAATCCTGGTGGTTCTGCATGTTTGCAGCCTATTATCCGTGTCTTGAGCACAACGGCATGTGCCCGATGCCTGCTCCAACATGTTCGATTTAGAACACATCCCAGCAGACTTGATTGATCGAGCCTGCTGGAGCATGCTAATTAGCACACAAGCAGCCTCGGCATCACATGTATTCAGCCTCCCCACACTTTAAAATGGTGGCAGGGGCACTTTAACTCATTGAATGAGCTTTAATTAAACTGCCCCGGCCACCATATTGAAGTGCAGGACGCTGAATACACAAGATGCTCCCGAGAGCCGCTCTAATTAAAGCACCACCCCTCGCCCCCCACTCCAGAGCACATGTGATGATGCCCAATGTGACTGCATAATTGAAGATTACTTTTAAATTATGGCATGTTTGCACTGGAGATTTTAAGTTGTTTTTGTTGCGCTTTAACCAAGCCTCTAGTCCTCAGACAATTTTACTGTGCTAGTAGCATTTTTTCCCCGCTAGGTTGAATCCTGCAAACATGCACACACTTTACTGTGTTGTTAGTATGAGGAATTAGAAATATCTTTTGAGTATTCAGAAGTAAACAAATATTAAGATTGTATTCTGCTCCACTCCGTAGAATTTTCTCACCCAGAAGACATTATGTAAACGGGGTGCAGTCAGACAAACTCCCCAACATGCACATATTTGCAGTCCGTAAGAGACAAGTTTAAGGAGAGGAGCACATGACAAAGTTGGTGTTCTCTCCCCAAACTCAGTCCACACAGCATTCTCATGCTCCTCACCTTACTTATATAAAACTTGCTCTCCCTACTGATCTGTCTGAAATGCTACCTTGTTCCTTCCTCTCCTCAACTAATAGGTGAACAGTGAATGATGTAGGCAGAGATCCACAGACTGGATCCAGCTCATGATCCAGTCTGTGTTTTACTAATGGCATGCTGATCCCTCTTGGATTAGATACATGATTTAAGCCACAGAGTATGAATGTGAATCCAGCCCGCATTCCACATTGGAGGCCAACCCCATGCTGCAGGCATATTGCGGAGGGCTCTGTAGGATTCCAGCTCAAAGCAAAGGGCTCTTCCCTCCCCCTCCCCACTGCAGCCTCTGCTCACTGTTTGCTTGCTGCTGGCTTCACCACTCAGCATTGTCTTTGACCACAGTTTTCAGTGACACATTTTTCAGAAGCTGTATGAGGAGGGTGAGATCACAGTCCTTCACAGAGCTGGGATGCAGCAGAGGACTGACAGCCTACTGTAGGAAAAGGTAGCCACCCCCTGACCTAGGCTGAGCACAAATTAAGACAGAGCAGGGGTCAGCAAGGTTTTGCAGTGGCAGGCCAGATCAATTTAGCTTGCATCCAAGGCAAACCAGTGCTTCCGCCCTGCCACTGTTGCCCTCACCACCTCTTCTCCATCCCCTGACTGGTGCAAGTGGAGCCCCCCAGCTCCGCAGGCCAGATCCAATAGCTCTGTGGTTTGGATACTGTTGATCCATTGAACAGAGTAACAGGGTTGGAGGAAAACATTTCTGCAAGGGGCAAACAAGACATAAGACCTCTAACAAAAGTGGGCAAGAAGGGAAGAGTACACGTGTATTTGGGGGCGGGGAAAAAACAACTTACAACTTAACCCCCAAAAACAAGGAAATAATTTTTCAAAGTCAATCATCCATCCACACTTCATTCTAGGTCCTTTACTCAACTACACCCCTTCCTCTGGTAGGCTACCTTTCACCTTCATCTTAACTAAAAATGCATGATCGGACATAAACCTGGCTGCTGGTTATTTATTTATGGATTCATTGTTGTAGCTTCTACATAAAAATGCTAATGTTAGATTGTCTGTATATACCACCTGTTCCCACTGCTTTAAAAATATATTACAGGAAAAACACACACCATATTATGGCCACCATTCACAGTTAGTCTATAAATTGCACATTCACATGAAGCAGGCAGAAAGTGATCTGCTAAAGCCACAACCACCAGTGTAAATCAAACCATGTGAATAAACCAGTGAATGTGGTCAGAATTCAAACCAGTCTGCTAGCTGCTCAGAAAGAAAGTAGGGTGGACTGGGAAGGGAAATAACTGATATCAAGCAGGAAATGGTGAGCTGAGGCAAAAAATTAAGTTTGCTTAGAATCATAGGAAAGCAGAGCTGGAAGGCACCTCATGAAGTCATCTAGTCTAGCCCCCTGCTCAAGGCAAGATCATCCCTGACTAAACCATCCCAGCCCAAGGTTGGTTCAACCTGCTCATGTGACGTTCCAGGGATGGAGAGTCCACAACTTCTCTGGGTAGCTTTTCCCAATGTTCGGCCACCCTCATAGTCTGCAGGTTGTTCCTCATATCCAACCTAAATTTCTTTTGGTGCACATGAGGCCACTGCTCCTAGTCCTGTCCCCTGTGGGGATAGCAAACAGGCTATCTTCATCCTCTTTATAAGGGCCCTTCTTCCTTAGATCCTCTTTAGAATCACTCTACTTCCTTAGATCTAATGGTATCTGATGAAGAGTCACCCAATCCAGCAAACTACTTTGTTGTAAGTGAAGCTTTTTATGAAATATTTATTTAGTATCCAGAAGTGTATTAGCGATCTACTGAAAATAAATGTTTATGTTTTTATCTGATAAGTTTTGATTACACAGAGCTCTCTTCAAAAATGGTGCAACACATTAATTTAATTAAGCATGTTCACTTCCTCTCAATAAATGCAGTTGCACAATTGCAATGCATTTATCTCTCTTCTATGGTTTACACAATCATTGCAAAGCATATGAGCTATTTTATCTTGCTCTGCACCTTTAGGACTATGTGGCCTACATACATACATAATTCTGAGTATATCACACTCTATGGCTTAAATCACATCAAGCAGACACTTCATTTTTTTCCAGCTGGGGACAAAGCAGTGCTTATTCCAGGAGGAAACTATTAGAAAGGCTGTCCTGAGGGGTGCTGCGAGTCCAAAAAAGGCTGAGAACTGTTCTAGTACTACACTGAGCCCCTACAGGAAACCTTCACTCCAGGAAATGCCCTGAAAGCAAAAACTGGGAGTAGGAGATACAGTGAAAAGTTGGGCTGTAACTGTTGAAGCCAAGACAAAAACCAGCAAGCATCCCGTTTTCCAAATTCCTCTGCCCAAGGTTAGTGTAACAGATGCCTCTATAATACTATCAACATCAATAAAAGCTGTTGTTCACTTTAAATGACAAGATGGACAGGAGAAAAATTGCAACTACCCTCATGCTGCACCCAGCAACCATCCCACCTGTAAAAAGTGGGCAACCTGACAGGTCTCCAACTTTCTGAAGCCCTCACATCTGAAAGTAAAGAACCTTATTCTCTACTCCAACTCTGCCCTAGGTTGTTAAAGGTCTCCCCCCACTTTATGGTACAGACTGTAGACATGTCCAGGTAGCCTTCCTCATATGACATGCCTTCTGAATCCCTTTCATGGAAGAGCTGAATTGCACTAGATGGAAACAGCGATAGGGCTGTGCGAAACAGCACCGCTTCGTTTCAACTTCCATTTCACTGTTTCGAAGGAACACTGTTTTGTTTCGCTGTTTCGAAGCACTGTTCCATTTTGTTTCATCAAAACTGTTTTGCTGTTTTGACATTTCGCACATAGGCTATAATAGAGAATCACAAAAATGCCTGTAACTTTGTCATTTCTTTCCTGATTCAAATGAAAAGAGCATGGATGGCAGCCCCCTTACGAGGCCATGAAGCCTGCCAAGTTTCAAGGAGATAGGTGCAGGAGTTTGAGGGAAACTGCACCTCAAACTGTTCAGAGAAAAACTCATGTCACTTGTAAGCATGAAGGCACAGAGAAACCTCAGTTCAAGCAATGCTTTTTGTGCTGTTTTTCCATCCCTCCAGAGCACTGGAACTGGAAGGGACCTCAGGGAAGAATCACAATCACTTGTCAGCTACACAGTCAATATTAGAGCAGTCCTTCCCCCCACTCTTCCCTTTCCCTCTCCTTAGTTTCTGTCAGGTGCAAGCAAGCCAAGCTTCAAGTACCCTCATTTCGTTTTGAAGTTGTTTTGAAGCCTTTTGTTTCGTTTTGATTTCGCTGTCTCAAGCTCAAAACCTGTTGAAACAGCTTCAAAACGAAACACCTGGCAAAATTTCACACGGCCCTAATAACCACTGACCCCTGAGCAACGTGCTCACCTACCAAATAGCAACCCACGTCCCCTGCAACACATTACATATGTGACAACTGACTGGGAAATCACGCAATAAATTTAGACTGGCCACCCGTGCAAAGTAATGATCATGCCATTCACTGGCGAATAGTGCAATAAACTTAGCCGATGCATTGCACAATAAATTCAGACCGGTGCAAACTAATGATCACACCATTAGTCAGCAAAGTGCGCAATAAATTTAGGCTGGCCCCATCTGCAAAGTAATGATCACACCATTTACTGGTGAACTGTGCAAAAAATTTAGACCAGCCCAACCAGCTAAGTAATAATCACAATGTTTACTAGAGAGCTGTGCAGTAAATTTAACGGGTGAATCACACAATAAATTTAGACCAACCCCGTGTGTAAAGTCCCGATCACAACGTTCACAGATGAACCGTGCAATAAACTTGACTGGTGAACCACGCAATGAATTTGACTGGTGAACTGCGCAATAAATTTAGACCAGCCTCACTTAAAAAGCAACGGTCACGACATTCACTGGCAAATCACACGCTAAATTTAGGTTGGCCTCGTGCAAAGTAATGATCGTGACATTCACTGGCGAATCACGCAACAGGTTTAACTGTCCAATCCCGCAATAAATTTAAATCGGCTTCAAAGTAAGGATCTCCCCACACAAAGGGGTGCCCATTTCCTAAAGGAACCCAGCCACAAAGTCAGGGCTTGATAAGGTGCCCCGGCTCTGTGGCTGCTATCCCCTGGGGCCCTTGCAGGAGGGCGGGAAGCACCCATGCCTAGGGACAGTCGCTCTGGGGGGCATGGGGTGGGAGCAGAGGGGTCAGGGAGGCTTCTTAGGGAGGCAGGTCATGGCCAGCCCAGGATGTCCAGCAGCATGGGGCAAAGCAGAAGGTGGGGGGGGGTCCTAGGCCACAGCGTGATGGGGCACTGGGGGGAAATGCCCCTGGCTGGGGGCACCACGGTCTCAGGGTGCCTGGGGGTATGCGGGGGCTGGGGGTGCCCAGG